TACCACTTCAAATTCACAATAAAACAGTCTTTTCGGTGTTGTGCCCCAGACAACTTTACGCCCATCAAGCGATTCCATCTTGCTTGTTGGTAAATTGGTAAATTTGGCCTCAGAAAGAGTGGATCACCTCAAAATATTAGTCGAGGAACGCCCCAAAAACTTGCATGATAACAGAACTAGAAGTCAACATAGCAAGTCTACACAGAGAAGTCAATGTTCCAAGAGCAGAAGAACAACACAAGCATGAGTGGGTAATGGCAACAGAAAAAACAACAACAGCTTTATATATGAACTACTGTTCACTAAATATGCTGGGCATCTTCAAGAAAAAAAATCTCATAGAGCCAAAAGTGTAGCAAATTTATACCTTTCTGAAAAAACAATGAAAGAAAATTAAAAAAAAACACGTGTGGGCTAAGTCTACGTGTAAGTGCTGTAGGTGCGCGTGTATACACCAATATAGGCCTACTCGGTGGGTACATCTTCGTGGTTTATCTCGTGCAAAGATTTAGAAGTTAGACCTATGCAACTTATTTCAACACTACAAGCAACAACACGCTCGTCTATACTGAAAGCTCGGTTATGTCTAGGTGCTCAGCTGCTGACGAAATTTGCCGCCAAACTCAGTGATTATACGCGAGTGATAAGGCTCCTAGGAATTTACAGAGAAACTCACAACCGTTTATCAAATGCTTTGATAATTATGACGTGCTTTATATTAAAAAAGCACCAGGAGATACAAGGAACGACTATGGCTTTCTTGATTTCATTCTATCTTCGCAAAACGGCACTAACTGTACAAGACCCTGTCTTCCCCAAAGTATGGAAGACCCTGCCTTCCCCAAAGTCAAAAATAATGTTACAGCTTTATTATATTAGCGTATTTTGAAAGCGCATAATGTATAAATTGATCCTACTTGGCCTTTTGTGCACATAATGCGCGATGTACACGCTTGCACTTTCATCTCTAAATTACAGGCGTTATCGTATCAAGCATTTATTTAAACGCGGAATTATTGAAACATACTACTTTTTTTTTCTGCACTATACATGCAATAGGCACATACAATATAGTACTACGGAAATGTTCTCTTGAAGACGGCATGATTTTTGTATATCGTTCCCACAAGACTAATTTCTTGATATAGCAATGGCTAACAGTGATGTGTCACGGACCAGGTCCGAGAAACACACGCCTTGGCGTGGCTTATGGTTTCACCGTCTAGGTGATCTGACAGGAGATTAGGAATGAAATACGAAGGAAAAAGACTAGTCTTCCATCGCCATCTATCAGCATGTATAATTCGTGGGTGACGCGATAGAACGTTCACACGCCTTCTTTAGAGCAGCTGTGAACAGATAGAACAAATGAATTCAGTTATCTACGACAGAGAAAGCAAGATGGCATCCGGTTTCGAAGGAGAAAGAAAGCACGCGGTTGTCCACAGCAATAAATAAGAACAATTCGATCGTTCTCTTGAACAATATTACATTTTATAAATGAATATTTCATCAACTTTTTCTTGTGAGTGCTGCGTGTGCCGCTATAAAGTTGCCATAATGCTAATCAAGACAGTGAGCGTAGCTCCGCCATTTTTCACGTATAGATATCGAAGTCTGAAAGAATCGGCCTCGAAGTTGCTTCAGTCATGAATCCTCGTTTACACAATGGCAAACACGGCTCGGTGGATTTAGTTTCAATAACAGCATCGTTTTTCTTTCCATGACGGAACACCAGCAAATAGTCATTGTGTTGGAATCGATTAGAAATAGCCTTATACTTTAGACAACTAAGTGAACCCACGGAGGAAGGAAAAAGGTAAGGAGAGGGCATGCCCAGCCGGCGCAGGGCGTAAAAAATGTGGCGGAAATGACATCATGGCAGCCATATTCAGTAGGCGCAATGGCGGCGTTGTTATGGTTACGTGTTGCGCAGTGAAGCTGGTCTAGCAGTGAGCGGCCGCGGCTGGCGGCGGAATGTGTGCCTCCGCCGGTCTCGTGCTGAGCCGTGGCGGACAATATCTGTGCTCGGCGCCGCGTTATTGGTTACGCAGTGTTCGTCTGGCTGTTACATTACTCTTAGCAACGTTTACAAATCTCTTTGTCCATCACGGGTTTTCAACAGTGCGTACAACAAGTGCATATCCATGTGTCGTGCGGCGGATGACGCGGATGAAGCAGTTAGTGTTCAGCGAAATGGCGTTGGGCACCATGACGAAGCTGAATGACGACGAACGCCTTGCAGGTCAGTGACGGTTGAGCAGTGCTCCTGCTTGTGACAACGGACGACGCTGTTGAGCCCAGCAAGACGCCGTGAGGACCATGTGCACACACGTAGTTTCGTGTTGTGTGTGTACAGTAACAACTTGCATGTGCGTATTGAAACACCTTTTCTGTTCCGCTTGGTACACTCTCCACCAGCATTGCATGTAATCTCAACGTAACAGCAACCACGTTCAACTGTCACTAGCACCGTGCTCAAGTCACCACGGTCGCAGAATGCTGACGCAGGTGAGTTTCACGCGAAACACGGACACAGTGGCAGGACGCTGCGTCAGTCGCGTGGCGGAATGCAACAGTAGAAGGCGCACGACCGATCGTGTTGTCTGTACAGTTGCTCAATTATTGACGTGAAAGCACTCGCCGTTGTCAGTGCATCTAGCGCGCGTTCTTTCGTAGTTGCTTCGTTGTCAGCGAGCTGTTACTCTTTGTTATTACTCGGACGAAGCGATTTCGCTGAAGGTGTCCCGCTGGCTCTGGGTGATGAGCCCAGTTCCATTAGTTTCGGATCGTCACGACACACGCGCTGCGCAGCCCACGTGCTTTCCGAGCCGGAGAGGGAGTCGCGCCTTCTGCTTCGCATTCATATGTAAACAAGAGAGGAGAATTTGCCTACTCAATATGGCCGACTTCCGGCTTCATCGCGGCTTCACAACGAGTGACGTCAGGGCCTCTCCTTACCTTTTCCTTCCTCCGTGAAGTGAACCGTTTCAATTGCTGAAAGTAAGTGCCATGTTGGTGTAGGCACAAGTGTATGCGGGGGCTTTTGTGTGCTCCTCGTTTGCTTCTGTATCAAAGACAACAATTTGACTTTGCCGAAAGGACTTTATTAAGAATTCATTTTTTCCTTCCTGAACCTCATAGTTATTTCACAGTGCCTGAACTAATCAATAACCGAAATACAACCTAACCAACTGATTTTTTTAAATTACAACTAATGAAGAGACACGCATGTGCGTTCGGAACAAGAAGCTGCTACAGAAGCGACTATATATCCATTTTAAGTGTGAATACACTTTATAAGCGACCCCAAACCATCCACCGCCGTCGGCGGCGTCCGTAGTCTTCTCTCTATCTTTAAAAGAAAGAGGACTTGGCGGGCCGCAGCGCGACGCTCTACCGAATAAGCCACGGACGCGACGCTGATATCGGTGTCGCTCCTCCGCTCTCCTCGCTCGCTGCAGCTGCGCGCGCACCTCTCCCTCTCACGCGCCCGCCTTCTCTCTCAGTCTCCCGTCGAGAGCGGGTCGTGAGGGGGAGTAAAGTTAAAATTCGTTGGCATTCGCCAGTGAGTTAACGTAAACTCCCCCGTGTGATCAAATTGCGATTCCCAGGAACCATTACACCATAAAGGCACCATGGTGTGATTAATAAATATAATAGTGCGAAATAATAAATACCCCTCATAGCATCACCCCGTGTATTCGCACTTAACCATGTTCAGCCTCGGGGAAATGCTTGGGAATTTTTACCATTACTTTTAAGGCATTGTTGACCTACAGAGGATACAGACAGTATGAGCTTCTATTAAAATAGTGATGGAATTAATTTTAAAACGCGTGCTTATTGCTATCGCAGAGTTCATTTATCACGACGCAATTTTTATGTAAACATGATGTGAAAACGCGCTTCGTTGAATTTCGAAAATAGAAGCAATAGCTATATAGATATGTTTATTCCCACAGTACAACTCAACTATACCATAATCAGTAAAGCCGCTTAAGTTTAAAATATCTGAACTATTTTCTTGCCAACGAAACGAAAGACGTCAGCAAACACAACTGAATCATTATGTCATAAGTTTTCACATTGATCTGCTTGTCTTTTTTATGGTTGCTTTTCTGAGCCATAAGTGATTCTTACAGAATCTAATGATTGATTGATATGTGAGGTTTCACATCCCAAAATCACCATATTATTACGAGAGACGCTGTAGTCAAGGACTCCGGAAATTCCGACCACCTGGGTTTTTTTAACGTGCACCGACATATGAACACATGAGCCTGCAGCATTTTCACCTCCATCAAAAATGCAGCCACCGCAGCTGGGATTCGATCCTGCGACCTGCGCGTCAGCAGCCGAGTACCTTAGTCACTATAGACTACCGTGATTAGGCAAGTCTTTCAGAGTCTTAAGTAGGAACATCTACCGGCAGATGGCCTGAAACAAAGAATAGTAAAAGAAGCTGGCGTCAACAGAATGTTTACCCCTCTTTTTATAATAATTTATATAAAAAGAGGGGTCAGCATTTCATGACGACAGCATTCTTTCACCTGGAAAAATCTGGTCGCTTTAGACACCTCGCTTTTAAATGCGAGACACATAACGCGAGCAATTTTTGTTAAGCGAAACGAAAATTCGTCATTTGCGTGGTGTGCGATACGTGAGCCACGCGACAATGCCAAACACCCAGACATTTGTAGCCGAATAGCGCAGAAACATCTGGTGTTGTTATATGGTAGGTTCCATTGATTCCGTATAGCGAGATATTAGGTAGTTTTCTAATAGCGTACGCAAAGCTTTGCGTTTGCGTTGCTTATGCGTCGTACGCTCACCTCTTGCGGGCTCTCATTGAGTGACAACGCTAACGCTGCGCCCACAAACTTAGCGTACGCTGTTCGAGAACTCTATATTGCTATACGACCCTCCGTAGCGTGCAATGTGCGTCGCGGAACAAGTAAGGTTCACGTCAAGGCGAAAAAACAACGTTCAGTGCTCACAATGCCTGTCGGCACACAGGGACTCCCTGGAGCAGAGGATGCAGCCAACGACGATGACGATGAGTACCACGCAGCTGGAGACGAGGATGGGCACCAGAATCTCCAGGTCGGTCATGCTAGGCAGGGAGGAACGCTTGGGCTGAGACGAGGTGGCCTCCACCGAGGCCACGTCTGCAAAAGGGGTCAACCATGCATGTGTGAACGGTGACAACTGCCACTATAGTTGCGCTGTCACGTTCGTGGTGACACTGATGATTATTTGGGGTCTCGTGGCGGAAGGGATACATATGACGAAATAGTGCTAAGAGAGCACCGGTGAGAGTTCAGTGAAGTGATGCATGAGAAGTACTATTGCCCCACCAGGGCTGTTGAGCGGAAGGGCCCTTAACCCGCGCTATATAATAATAAGACGAATGGAGCAGCAGACTCTCACAAAATAGCGTGATATGAATTACAATGAGAACGTGCAGTGTTTGAACAAGACTTAAAAAGACTGCAACTGATCTTGTGGTGAATTATGGTTCGTCACCCGGAAACAATGTTAGATGCCACAGAATATGCTGCCTGTGGGCAAACGAAAAGCGATTATCCTCTAGGTGAGATGTGGAGGATGGTCAGTTGTCCGCCACATCTCTTAAAGCGAGGAATCGTGTGTCGAGACAGTGTACCTTACTGGCGGCAGCACAAGACGTTGTATCACGGAGTAGATCTACACTTACGCGCAGTGCCATTGGGAGTGGTGAACTCGTATTGGGCCTCGGTAGCACCCGCCGTGGAGCGGGCAACCACGTGAACGTGGTACGTGGCGCCAGGCGTCAGGTTACGCAGCAACAGCTGCGTCTGGTTGGCCGGCAACCCTTCGGCTACGGTGGACCAGGCCAGTGCTGAGCCCTGGCGCAGCTTCACCGTGAAGTCGAGCAGCTCACAGCCTCCACTCTTCCAGCTGCGCAAGCTCAGGCTGGCGTGCCGCTGGGAGGCCTGGATGAACTCCTCCTTGCTCGGGGACAGCGGTGCTGCATAGGTGCATACGAACATGACCCGCGCCATATAGTCGTGGAGCACCGTCAGTAGTCTAGAAGCTAGATTAGTTTGCGACTGTATCCAACTACTAACGTAGTTATCAAGGCAATATTCATCAGCCAGAATATGGAACAATTGATTGATTGATAAGTGGGGTTTAACGTCCCAAAACCACTATATGATTATGAGAGATGCCGTAGTGGAGGGCTCCGGAAATTTAGACCACCTGGGGTTCTTTAACGTGCACCCAAATCAGAAGATTGAACGTGATGCACGAAATAAAAAAGAATACGCTTACTTACTCAAATGCCTGCAGCGTTTTTCTGAATCGTTTTTCTTCAATACACCTTGCGGCAATCTCACAAGAGTACGAAAAATGGCTTTCGATGCCGAGTTTGAAAACGCCTTTTGATAAAAATTACTGGAATGGAAAGAAAACTAAGTCGGTGCAGAGTTTCAATGAAATGTTCGCAAGTGAGTGAGTGGGAAAATAATTGCTTGTAAGTAATGTCAGTCAGCAAGGAAATCGTGGATAATGGGCGTAATCCTACCGGCGCCACCGCGGGAAATTAAGAGAGTCTGAATAGTTTAGCTGATAGTTATGGGAATCAAGAGAAAAAAAAGCGGTTGTTTAGCATGCAGGAGTTACAAAACTGACACATATTTTGCACTTGCTAATCACACTTGACCAAACCAAAAGAACAAGGGGAGGATGAAACGTTTCTTTGCGCGAAACAGCAAGAAAGCGTTCGTCAGCCGAAATGGGCGGCTATTTCAGTACAAAAGGCCGTTGTCTAATGCCACCGCCCGTGTCTGGTCCACCAGACTACAATAAATATGAGGGTAAACTTCATGCCCCATGTAGTCTGCCGCATCAAGCAGAGGAGCTCGTTTCGTTGCATCTTCTCAGGTGTTTTTGTTGTGTATGCCATGTTCACAAATAAGTGGTGCAACACGCTTTCTCTGCTTCTCCTCAGCAGCCTCGACGGCACTTATTCAGTGATGACGTAGCTTTCATTAGAACTGCACCGTAATTCTCAGTGACAAGAATGCACTTTCATAACTGAGGCTTTCTGGTGTGTACCTGGCCCGGAGCAACCAGGAGCCGCACAATGCTGTGTTAATATTTACTCGTGCGTTTTTGATACGAAATCATTTTAGAGCGCAAACTACGGGTAATGAAAAAAAGTTACGCACAGTGCCGTCAGAGCATTACAAGTGTTACGAAATAGCAGAGCAGTGCGACCAGCTGTGTTTGGCGTACAAAAATATCTGTTTTTTTAAATAGAACAAAAGACATCGGTGATACGTGAACTTACGTACAGGCATAATGATTCAAAAGTTTTTGTTTTCGCTCTACAGAACTTTGTTTTATTTCTGAAAAATGGTGATGCGTTGTTTTTTAGACTTGACAAAATAACTTGTTTGCGAAGGAAGAATACTGACGAAAGTGATGCCTCTTGGCGAGATCAATCCCAGCCGCATAGCTGACTTAAATTTTATTGTTCTCGTAATTGAGAAAATCACAGGTTATTTCATGAATGAAAAAAAAAATGAGGCAGTTTGTGTACTGTTAAGCAGTTCAGTGAGAGAGATAAAATAAACGAAGGAGAAAGGCAGGCAGATTAGAAAACTACGTTAAGCTAAGCTAAGTTTCTCAGTATCACTCTCGGTGAAATATTCCGACAGAGGCCTGAAAACCCTCTCTCATATTGTCCCATTTTGCACTCTACTGATTACCGTGTGTCACAAACGAGTGATCATTAAAGCACTTGCCTCACGTTTTTAACGGCTACGTTAAAACCAGGTGCCGTTCGGACGCGACAGAAGCCGGCGTAACGAAGAAACAAGCATCAAAAGATGCCGCGCGCGCTCCTCCTTTCTTCCTTGAGCGGCCGCAGCCACCACAGACGCCCACAATCTCCTCGGATCTAACAAGCAGCAAACTCTAAAAACATCTCGAAAGGAAGGGGTGTGGTGCTGCATAGCTGCGTCGCGGGATGCGAGACCTGCGAGAGGAATACCCCTTTCCACCAGCTTCAGCTCTGCGGCGCACCGACGAACAGCCGGAACTTTCAGAACCCTGGGTGATCGTATGTATACAAGCAAGCAGTGGATGGTGGCGATCAGGAGAAGAGTGGGTTTTCCACCAGCAGACGAAGGCTTGTTCTACAGTGACAAAGCAGGAGATTAAGCTAGTGTTTTTCGCCCGTGGGCGAAGACGTCACCTGCAGTAGCAGCGCGTGAGTGGCCGATGTGTTGCCAACGAAGAAGTTTCGTTACTGAAGTGCGGTCAGTAGACGACGCAAGAGTCTTTTGGAAGAGATACCTCGAACGCAGGGGGACGACAATCGGAGCTGGATTTTCTTGAAAGAGAAGCATTCAAGCTTTGTTCCAAGAACTTTGTACTGAATACTTTCGACGGACATTATAGTCCATAGGTGTGCTTGGATCACGGAGTGAGAATTCTTCTTTCTCTTTGGCTTGGATAGTTAATGCATGATATTGCATTGTAGAGCACAAGCTGTTGTCCGTGCCCGTAGTTTTGAATTTATCGGAGTACCATGTGAGTCGTATGGTATTCGACAAGTGCCGAGTGTGCATTTTTGTGTGTTTGTTCTGCCGCATCTGAGAATATATATTTGGTTTTGTTATCAGCTCTCAGCTCTGCCTAAATTTTTCGGACCACCAAAAGTACCAACACTAAATTGTCCGTGCTTTCATGGTGCATGTCGGGGGGCCGATACGTCAGCCCTTAGAATCAGCCCGGCAACTGCCTCCCTATTTACAGGACTAGTGACACCGTATAGGTGCTGTGGGCTGTGAAGGGTGGAGAGGCTCAGAAAAATAGAAAAAGTCTGCATGAACCAGATTAAAGTAAAGAAAAAAAGGAAGAAGAGAACGGTATTCCGGTCCTCTGAAACGATTAAAGAGAAATCAGTGCAACGGCTAACAGAAGGAGCCTCGCAAATATACATCTCGGCTGCATCGATCACCGGTCACCACAGCGTTCCCTCTGATGTTGCTCGACCTAGCGTGCTCTTTCATCGCCGAGCGAAATCAAGGTGCGAGTGCGTAGAATCAAATCGCTGAGAGGTAAAGGCCGGATGATTACTAGCCTAACTCTTTCATTTTTATTATACAGACATCGAAACCTTGTCCGCATGCACCCGCAAAAAGAGCATACAGTTTTCTTCGCATGTGCACTCCCTCTCTGCTTTTGTCTGTCACACGTTGACTTATGCTCGGTCGGCGGCAAATCTGTAGTGATCCAAGAATTAAAGTGCAAGTAATAATAAAACTCGGACGTAGTGTCAAGAATTGTTTTTCTTTATATAGCTGCCCGTCGTCCCCGAAGCGACGCGCGCGGCGAGAGAGCATCGACCCAAGCCGTCTAGATTGGTTGGCGCACACGGTGGCGAGTGACGTGCCGTATGCCGCCGCACTGGGACTCGCGGTGACTAGGTCCAGTGTTGGCAGTTGAGTGGAGTGTATGTGGCTGTCTGGGGCGAAGCGGGCAGAACACGCGACACAAGCGCTGCCATCGCGTCCGCCTTCTTTATTCCATCCTTCCGGCATTGTATTATTGACTGCGCGTCGCTTTTCATCAGCCCGTTCCATTTGCGAGCCTTGCGCCACGTTTTTTTTTGTTACTCACTCATAGGGTGCCCGCTTTTTCTGATGTTTCTCTCTTTGCTCTCTCTCTTTTTTTTCCTTACTCAAATGTCATCTGGAAGGTTGGCTGTCCCAAGTTTGGATTTCTGTAAGGTCGCTAGGGAGATCTGGCGCGAGGACATCGTAACTCAAAAAAAAAAAAAAACGCACGCACTCGCCGAGAACCCGGAGCGTGCTTTTAGCCATTACTCACAGGAGGGCAAAAAAAAAATAGAAAAGAAAGAAGAACCCGCGCAATTTAGTGCATTCAGCGAACGTTTCCAACTATATATGTTTACCTATTCTCAGAGGCTGCGTACGTATTTTTGTTGCTGTTATTTTGCTTCGTGTTGGCGCAAGCAAATAGTTTTAAACGTGCAGCCCTTGTGTCGTGTACGAATTATGCCTCCCCGACAAGAAAAATGCACTACATGGATAAGACGAGCTTCGATTAGTGGTGAACGTGGCATCTGACTGAGTGCCTGCTATCTAAGTGAGTTCCCGATGAAGCGCGCGGCTTAACTCTTGATTGAAATATTCCGGACAGCTGGCCACACTTCTAAGCCAGTTGGGTATACTGTAATTGTTAGAACTTTAAGCAGCCGGAGGAACACGAGAAAAAAAAATAAAAGAAGGCTGGGATATTACGCAGAAAAGCGTGTGGTTGTGCTTCCTTGAATTAAGGTGAGCAGGCGACAAAATAAAAAGTGAATAAACTGAATATATTCGCGGATGCACAAACAGGACCACGCAATAGCACCGGCGCAAGTCGGTTGTTTTGGGAAAGCATGATTCACAGTAAGATGGACTTTTAAAGTGATCAACAGGAAATGACACTGAATTGAACGTTTCCACAAGTCAAGTCTATGTAGAACTGAGCAGGCTGTTTCTCAAGACGAAATTATATTCATAGAGACGTTGGAGACATATATCTTTCATTATTCATACAGCGCTCAGCTAACACATCAAAAAGGGAAATGTCTTGCGAGTGTACCATTTCTATCATTACAGCTTCAATATTACCTGCTACTGTAGTTTTCGGCCCCACATTTCCTCACAGAATACAGACTCAGAAATATACATTGTGAAGGCAGCCCATAATGACCTTAAGACTGACAGCGACACATCACACTTCGACATAGCAATGTGCTGCCTTTTGACGGCAACCGACATTATCTCCGACGAATTCGCAGATATGCAGAGCCGCGGGACATTCTATTTTTAATTTTAGACGCGGGATGTGAGCTTTCAAATTATGAATGGTCCAAGCATCACTTTCTTTCTTCAAATGACCTGTATACTGTCCTAATCTCATACCACGTGTCTTTACATATGTTAG